GGGAATCCAGAGCGCTCATCCGCATTGGAAGGCCTTTCTAACAGAAGCTTGGGACGTAGCGAAACAATGGAAGCTCGCGGAGCCGCCAAAGCTCCGCCCGCCCTTACCTCGCGCTCTGCTGCGCGCTATGGTCGGTCTCTGTTTCGCCTGGGACTGGCCTGTGATGGCGGCCTTGCTGCTCATGGGCTTTACGATGTTCCTCAGGCCTGGCGAGCTGCTGGCGTCACGCCGCTGTGACTTGTCGCTTCCTTGCGACCGCCTCGAAGTTGAAGGGGATGCTTTTCTTTCGATTCTTGTTCCAAAGACCAGGAGAACGTACCCGACGCAGCATGCTCGCTGCTCCGATCGGGGCACGGTGAAGATTCTGAATCAAGTGTTTGGGCGGTTGGCTTCCACCGATCCTCTCGCCCCTTTCGGTGCGAGCGGCTTCCGTACTCGGTGGAATCATTTGCTTTCGGCCCTGGGCGTCCCTCTTGCCAAAGCGGGTCAGGGACTCAACCTGGCGCCCGCATGTCTGCGGGGCTCTGGCGCAACAGACTTCTATATCGCTACGGAAGACGTCCCTCGCGTCTTCTGGCGGGGGCGTTGGCGTCAGGCTTCCAGTGCTGAGCGCTACCTGCAAGCCGCCGCCGCTTCCACAGTTCTTGCTGCGCTGCCCGTGCCCGCACGGGCGCGGATCCTGTTCTTCGCCACCGCCAGCGACCGCCTTGTCGCTTCATTTCTCCAAGTCGGCCCCGCCGCTTGGCCTGCCCTACTTGCGGCCGCCCGCCGAAACCTTGTCACTTCGCAAGGTCCTTGAGCACGGGTATGGCTGCCTCGCCGTCGTCGGCGAGCAGGCGGTCTCCCCCGCCTGACGCGCGGCGCCCCGGCACGAGCGCGCGGGACGGGCCTGCCCATTTTGGGCCGCCCCGCGCGCGCGAGCCGCGGCCGCGCTCGGAGACAGCTCGCTAGCGCGCGAGCGGGAGAATGCCTCTTCTATTCTCTGTGAGCAAGCTCCTGCTGTCTCCGCAGCTTCTCTGCCCCCCTCCCTCCTCTCCCAATCTAAGGCTGATGGGCGCTGCCTCGCCGTCGTCGGCGAGCAGGCGGTCTCCCCCGCCTGACGCGCGGCGCCCCGGCACGAGCGCGCGGGACGGGCCTGCCCATTTTGGGCCGCCCCGCGCGCGCGAGCCGCGGCCGCGCTCGGAGACAGCTCGCTAGCGCGCGAGCGGGAGAATCATAATCCCTCCTGCTCCCCCTCCATCATCCATCTTCCATCTTCCATTCTCCATCCTCCGTCCTCCATCCTCCATCATTTCTCCTCCTCCTCCTCCTCCTGCTCCTCCTGCCCCCCTCCATCATCCATTTTCGATCTTCCATGCTCCATCCTCCGTCCTCCATCCTCCATCATTTCTCCTCCTCCTCCTCCATGTTCCTCCCCCTCCTCCTCCTCCTCCTCCTCCTCCTCAATCTTCTTCCTCCTCCTCCTCCTCCTCCTCTTCCTCCTCCTCCATCCTCCATCATTTCCCCTCCTCCTCCTCCTCCTCCTCCTCCCCCGTCCTCCTCCTCCTCCTCCCCTCCTTCTCCTCCTCCTCCTTCTCCTCCCCCTCCTCCTCCTCTCCGCCTCCTCCTCCCCCGCCTCCTCCCTCCTCCCCCCTCCTCCCCTCCTCCTCCTCCTCCTCCTCCTCCTCCTCCTCCTCCTCCTCCTCATCATCATCATCATCATCATCATCGTCATCATCGTCCTCCATCCTCCTTCTCCTCCCTCCTCCTTTCTCCTCCTCCTCCTCATCATCATCATCATCCTCCATCCTCCATCCTCCATCTCCTCCTCCTCCTCCACCTTCCTCCCCTCTCCCTCGTCGTCCACCTCCTCCTCCTCCCCCTCCTCCTCCTCCTCCATTTCCCTCCATCCTCCTCCATCCTCCTCCATCCTGCATCCTGCATCCTCCTCCTCCTCCTTCTCCTTCTCCTCCATTCTCCGTCTGCGCATCCTCCATCCTCCGTCCTCCTTCTGCTCATCCTCCATCCTCCATCTTCCTTCTTCTCCATCCTCCTACTGCTCCTCCTCCATCCTCCGTCTTCCATTCTCCATACTCCACCCTCCATCCTCCGTCCTCCATTCTCCATCCTTTCTTCTCCTCCTCCTCCTCCCCTCTCGGGGGGGGGCTCCTGAGGAAAGAGCCTTTGTGTTTTAAGTCGGGCGTGTCCCTCTGCAGGAGGAGTACTCGAGAATAGTAAACATTGGTCTGATGACGATGTTTGGTGCTCTTTTGTCTACGTGTTGGCATATTATGCTTATTGTTCAAATGTCTTCCAAACTCCGCCTGCAGGAGGAAATGCCCAACCGAACCCTCGTCCTGGCCCGCTTCCGGAGGCTCGGTCGGTCGGTCGGTCGACGGCGGAGTCTTGAAGCCGACACTCAGGATGGAGGCGGCGGCGACGAGGACCCCCCACACCCTGAGCCACGCAGAGAGGGCAGCCCAAAGCCCACGCACCCCCCCAACAAAAGGGGGGGGGGACACGGGAGAGGAGGAGAGAAGAAGAGGAGGAGGGCCAAGGGCGCCCTGGACAACACAGGCCCACAAGGGCCGACCGCGGGCCAGGCACTCGGAGAATCGAGCCGAGACCAGCAGCCACGTCCATCTGCAGGGCTCCAGCGCTTCACGGGCTCACGCTCTACATCACGCAGGAGAATGCAGCAGACTAGTTACATGAAAGCAGATGCCAGAGAAAAGACGGCTCTCCTGAGACTCCTCCTCCTCCTCCTCCTCCTCCTCCTCGGGCGCGGGGGGTTCCTGCGGAGGGCGCCGCTGGAGGCAGGAGCCCTTGTCTTAAGTCGAGCATGTCCCTCTACAGGAGGACCATCCAAGACTACTTTTACAAATAGTCTGGTGACGATTTGTCGTGCTCTTGTGATTAAGTTGTCTTTTTAAGAATATATTTCTCACAGCACGTCTCTGTAGACATGCCCAACCGAACCCTTGTCCTGACCCGCCTCCTTAGACTCCTCCTCGTCCTCCTCCTCCTCCTTCTCATCCTCGTTCTCATCCTCATCATCAGCATCACCATGATAATCATCATCAGCATCATCATCATCATCATCAGCAGCAGCATCGTCATCATCATCATCATCATCATCATCCTGGTCCTCATCCCCATCCTCATCATTATCCCCATCCTCATCCATCCACCTCTTCCATCGTCCTCCTACTCCTCCATGCTCCCTCATCATCATTCCTCCTCCTCCATGCTCCTTCATCCTCCCGCCTCCTCCCCTCCTCCTCCTCCTCCTCCTCGTCCTCCTCCTCCTCCTCCTCCTCCTCCGTCCTTCTCCTGCACCTCCTCAATCCTCCATCTTCCATCCTCCATCCTCCGTGCTTCATCCCCCCCATGCTCCTCCCTCCTCCCTCCTCCTCTTCCTCCTCCTCCTCCTCCTTTTCACTATCCTTCATCCTCCTCCTGCTCCTCCATCTTCCATCCTACATCCTACATCCTACATCATCCATCCTCCATCATCCTCCATCAGTCTCTTCCTCCTCCTCATCCTCCTCCTCCTCCTCCTCCGGCGCGGGGGGGCTCCTGCGGAGGACGCCGCCAGAGGAAAGACTATGTTTGGTGCTCTTTTGGCTCTGTTTGGTTATTGTCTGATGAGTTTCTGTCTTTCTTCCAAAACCCTGCTGTAGGAGGACATGGCCAACCGAACCCTTGTTCTGGCCCGCCTCCTGAGACTCACCCTCCTCCTCCTCCTCCTCCTCCTCCTCCTCCCATCCCTCCTCCTCCCATCCCCCTCCTCCTCCTCCTCCTCCTCCTCCTCCTCCTCCTCCCATCCCTCCTCCTCCTCCTCCTCCTCCTCCTCCTCCTCCCCTCCTTCCTCCTCCTCAATCCTCCATCCTCCTCCTCCATCCTCCTCCTCCTCCTTTTCTTCTTCCTCCTCCTCCTCCCTCCTGCCTCCTCCCTCCTCGATCCTCCATCCTCCATCCTTCATCATCCTCGTCCTCCATCCTCCTCCATGCTCCTCCATTGCCCTCCATCCTCCTCCATCCTCAATCCTCCTCCATCCTGCATCCTCCATCCTCCTCCATGTTCCTCGTCCTCCTCCTCCTCCTCCTCCTCCTCCTCCCCCTCCTCCTCTTCCTTCATCCTCGTCCAACTCATCCTCCTCCATCCTCCATCTTCCTCATCATCCTCCAGCGACGAATACCTGTGCCAGGCATGCCCACTCACGCTCTGGCGCGATGAGGCTCGGCGCTATTGCTTTCTATTTCGTTCCATCGTATGTTTCGTAAGTCAGCGCACGCCTCCGCCCTCCATGCCACTGACTGCTAGGCTCGGGTAACCTGCTGCGCTTCATCTATGGTCGCTCATTCCTCCTATTCCTTCTCCCCCTCCTCCCCCTCCCCCCCCTCCTCCTCCTCCTCCTCCTCCTCCTCCTCCACTCATCCTCCTCTTCCTCTTGCCAAATGGGGCTCTCGCTCAAGACTTCCGCAATGCTAGGCAACACGAACACCGATGTAATCCTTTTCACACGTGCTCATATTGTTCATAGTTGTTCATACTACGCTTCTTTTAGCCACTAGAGCGATGGATGGTAAATCCTTTACGAAACGAGGTCTCGCCTGAGTGGCAAGCACCGCCAGGCGCCCGTCATTCAAGGGGGGCGCTTTCCGCAGTGGGAAGGAATGTTTGTGGGGACTTCTGAAGAGTGGACTTGGGACGGGACGTTGTGCTGCAGCATCGCTCACGCATCCTTGGTTCACTCTGGTCCTCCTCCTCATCCTCCTCCACCTCCCTCCCGCTCCCCCTCTCCCTCCCGCCTCCACTTCATCCGCTTCCTCCCCTTCCCCCGCCTCCCCTTCCCCGCCCCCGCATTTCGTTCCTCCTCATCCTCCTCCCCTCCTGTTCCTGTCCCTCCTCCCGCACCTCCCCCTCCGCCTCCTCCGCCACCTCTCCCTCGTTGTCCTCATGCCACTCCGCCTCTTGTTCCTCCTCTCGCCCGCCCCCCCCCACTCGAAGGCCAGCAGGGCATCTGGCGGATACCGCCAGACGCGCGCGACGAGCTGCTGCGCCAGCTGGGCAGCGGCGGCTGCGAGGTGTTGAGCGCGGACCCCAGCTTTCCCACACGGACTTGTCTCGACCCCCACGGACTTGTCCCGGCCCTCCTCCTCAATTTCCTGCCCTCGTCTTCACCAGGAATTTTTGCTGGTCCACCCGCCATTGCAGCGTGGGCTCGCTGTCGCTGTGCTTTGACATATGCACTCCGTCCAGTTTTCTTCGGGTCACTCCGCCGATTGGAGGGGGGGCGCGTTCCTCCTCCTCATCAGGGCGTGGGTTGGCAGCACTGGGCAGCGTCCGATCTCGACATCTGATATCTGCCGCCGCCCCCGTGGCTGCGCCTGCCGCGCCCTCTCCTGTGCCGGGCTTTGGGCGGACCCTGGCTGGAGCAAGACGGAGGGGAAGAGAGGAGGGAGGGAGGAGGGAGAGGCGCAGGAGGAGGAGGAGGACGACGAGGGGGAGGCTGGCAATGAGGAGAAGGAATCTGATGAAGAACACGATACGGAGGAGGTGAATGAGAATGAATATGGAGGAGGGGTAGCAAGTGGAACATGAGGAGTTCTACGAGGACCGTGATGACGGTGGTGGTCACGATGATGATTGTGGTGATGATGGTGATGCTGATGCTGATGCTGATGCTGCTGATGATGATGCTGATTCTGATTGTGATGACGCTGTTGATGATGATGATGATGATGATGATTCTGATTGTGGTGATGTTGATAATGATGCTGATGATGCTGAAAATGGTGGTGATGATGAGTCTTATTACGTATTATGTTGATGATCATGATGGTGAATCGGATGATGACGATGATGTTGTTGATGATGACATTGATGATGCTGATGGTGATTATGATGCCAATGCTGGTCATGATGATGGTGATGGTGATGATGATGGCGATGGTGATGATGATGGTGATGATGATGATGATGATGATGGTGATGATGATGGCGATGGTGATGACGATGGTGATGGTGATGGTGATGGTGATGGTGACTATGATGACGATGACGATGATGATGACGATGACGATGTTGTTGATGATGATGCTGCTGATGATGCTGATGATGCTGATGCTGCTGACGATGATGATGACGATGATGATGCTGATGATGATGATGATGATAGTGCTGATGGTGAGCAGGACGAAAAGGATAATGAGGAGGAGGAGTCGGACGACGACGAGGCAGGAAGAGAACGAGGGAGGGAGGGAGGAAATAATGAGGAGAGGAGGAAAGGACGACCAGAGCAAACCAAAGTTGCACCAACGACGCTGCAAGTCCAGTCCTCGAGTCCCTGCAGGCATCGGTGTTCACTGCGGGAGGCACCCGCTTGAAACACCAGCGGCCGTTGGGCCTGCCATTCTGTCGAGAGCCCCGTTTTGAACAGGAGCACTTTGCAGTTCGGGCCTTGCCCTTTGAGGAGGTCTCATATGATGGCGCCTTGTTTTAAGGGTCAAGCCTTCCGTCCTGTTGCTGTTGCAGTTGTTCCATTCTTGGTAATGACCTGGTGGCATGCTTCAAGCTGGATTCCCACCTCTTGAAAACGACTCGCCCTCCACCCGTGTAGATTGTGGAAATTTTGAAGACGAAATGCGCGCGGTGCTAAGGCCAGCGCCGGATTTTGAAAACGATCCCCCGCCCGACCTTGCAGCGGGATCTTGTAGGACAAAAGTGCGCGGCGCGAGTACACGAGTCACATGATGAAGACACATTACCCTCCGTCCGTGTATATGTTGGAAACGTAGGGAGGTGAAGCAGGAGGAGGGCATCCAGCCCTCCTTGTCCTCGTCGACCTCCCCTGGGCCCTCACAGATCCGTCCGGCTCGAGAAAATACACAGGGCTCCAGAGGAGGAGGAGGAGGAGGAGGAGGAGGAGATGGAAGAGGAGGAGGAGGAGGAGAAGGAGGAGGGAGGGGCGGGGACATCAGGAAGGAGAGCGGCAGGAGGGGCAGGAGTGGCAGGGGGATCGGCAATCGGGGGAGGGAGAGCTGATACGGGGGCCAGAGGATTTGGGAAGGAGAGGGCGAGGGAGGAGGAGGTGGAGGACAAGGAAGGAGGAGAAGGAGGAGGAGGAGGAGGGCGAGGGAGGAGGCAGAGGAGGAGGAGGAGGAGGAGGAGGAGGAGGACGAGGAGGAGGCGGAGGAGGAGGAGGTCGCGGGAGGAGGAAGAGGAGGGGGATTAGGGGGAGGAGGGGGAGGAGGAATGACGAGAGGTGGGGGGCAGTGGAGGGCTCTGCTGGCCAACTAGCAGGCCCACCGAGTGCCTCCGCAGGACAGGATGTCGCCGCCAGCGGCCTGTCGCGGCTGCTCTGGCACGTGTCTTGGGCACGTGCGCCAAGTTTTCGCCTTCCTCCCGCGCAAAAGTTGTCTCCCTTTTGTTTTCTTTTTTGTTCGTCTTCGTCTTCGTCTTCCTCCCCCTCCTCCTCCTCCTCCTCCTCCGCCTGCTCCTCCGCCTGCTCCTCCTCTCCTTCTCCTCGACCTCCTCTTCCTCCTCCTTTTCCTTCCCCCCTCACCGTGGAACGCGATTTCTGTCGAATGGCCTACGGCCCGTCCCACTAACGTGCTTGGGTTGTGTGTCATAGGCCTCTAGGGTGTTCGTTGGGATGTCGCGGGGGACCTCTCGGGGGTCTCTTGGGGGTTGGTTTGATGCCTAAAAGGGGGGCCGTTTTGCAGGCGTTATGGGGCCTCTTAAGAGGGTCTCTTGGTGCCTCTTGGGTGCCTCTTGGAGTCTCCTTGGCGCCTCTTGGGGCGGAAGGCTCTGATCTTCGGTTCGTGTTCCCCCTCTTGGGCCATTGTTGGGGCTGTCTTTGGGCCCTCGTGGGCCGTCTTGGGCGCCACTGGGGTCGTTTGGGAGCCCTCTTGGGCCGTCTTGGTGCCCTCTTTGGGGCCTTTTGGGCCGTGTTGGGGCTGTTGGGGGGATCTCGTGGGCCGTCTTCGAGCGTCGGAAGCTCGAAAGGTCGAGGGCCCCCAAAACATTGCAAACATATGGGCGATACATGTTGTTGGCCTGTTGGTGCCCTCTTGGGAAGGCTCTTGGGGCGCCTCGAAGACTTCTTTGACCGTCTTGGGGCCATCATTGGCGTCTTGGACCGATCTTGCGGCGATTCGGGGCCCTCTTGGACTGCCTGGGCGGCCTCATGGGACCCTCTTTGCTCGTCTTGGGGCCTTCTTGGCACAGGAAAAATATGCGGGAAGCCGCGACGGGGCCCAGGAGGCACGTGGGAAACCCAGGATGATGTGAGAATTTTGGGTCCTTGCCCGTTTCATGAATCCTCAGGATTGGGGATGAAGCTGAAGGGAGTCGGCCAAGGACGTGGGGACGCACTCCACTTCGTGCCATAGGGGGCTCGGTGGCGGATCTCTCTCTCTCTCTCTCTCTCTCTCTCTATATATATGTATATATGCACATACATACATACACATTACTGTATGCATATGTGTAGGTGTGTGTGCGTACATGTAGGCACACATACATGCATGCACACATTCAAAGGAACATATGTGTATATTCATACATCCATAATTACACATGCGTGTCTGCACCTGGATGTATATCTGTATGTACGCGCACGTCTATAGACATGTGTATCTACATACGTGTTTGTATACGTGTCGACCCCGTTCGGTCATCTGGGGGCCTCCAGGGACCTCTGGAGACCTCCTCCTCGCCCGTTCCTCTCCCTCGTCGTCGTCGTCCTCCTCCTCATTCTCATCATCATCACCATCAGCAGAACCAGCATCATCGTCATCCTCCTCACCCTCCTTCTCCTCATCAGCATCATGGTCATCAACACCATCATCATCACCATCAGCATCATCATCGTCATCATCATCACCATCATCAGCACCATCCTCTTCATCATCATCATCAGCAGCATCAGGAAGTTGATCGTTGGAGTTCTGACGGCACTACCCCAGTGTGCAAATTGTTCGGCAATCGCACAGGTTATACCGCCGCGCTTGTCCTAGATTCTATTGTGATGAATGTTCGTTTCGCTTTCTCCACCTCCCGCGTGGCTACAGTTTGTCTTCGGAGCCTGGCTGCAATTTGCGGATTCAGGAAAGGATATATATATATATATATATCGGAGTATGAGTGTAGCATTGGCTAGTGGCGAGATGTCATGCTCCAATTCGAAGCAGAAGGATACACGTTTTGCTGTAGGTCTGGATGCTCAGATCGAACCCCAAGAGTTCGTGGGGACATCTTGTCTTGGAAATCGGTCTGACCGATGGGCCACGACAGGAGAGCACAGGGAGATGTTTCTCAGCATGTTGCAAGAGTTTGGCTCGATTTGCTTACTCCACAGATGCCGCTCATGATGTTTTTGCTACGCATGTTCTTCATTCTACGGTCGGGCGGCAACAGTTGGACATGATTCTGGCCACTCGGGGAAGGCAGCTGTTTTCTAGTAATCACTTTCCAGTACAGGCGAAACTGAGGCCTCCAACAGGCACGCCCTGGAGGAAAAGGTGTTCAAGCAATCCCCGAAAGGATGGAAACCCAATGCCGAGGAGTCGGACTTGCGGTACCGGCGGGTCGTGGCTAACAAACTGCATTTTGATGGCACTCCTGCTGACTTGAACCAGGCCATTACGATTGCTAAGTGCAGGATGCTGCTGGGGAGGTTCCGCAAACTACATCCGCCAGTCGGCGTGCGCCTCTCTTGGCGAAGCCGCGTGAGTTGAAGGAGGCACAGAGCTTGTTCCAATCTCTGCCACTGGGCCCAGAGAGAAAAGAAGCTCGACGTCGCGAATACCAGTCAAAGCGACGATGGCAAGCCACCAAACCGGAATTGGACAAGGGGAAGACGTTGATGCAGTTGATGGTTGATGGGGCGCTTACCACAGATCGGGAAGCACTCCAAAAGTATACCGACCCAGCCATTGTTTCTCATGCTCGATTGCTCCTATTAGCCCGGCGCCAGGCAGAGGGGTTGTCATGGAAACTCAACGGACGGTCCGTGCCGAAAATGACAACTTTCACATGGCCTCCGGACCCGGGGGTGCTTGAAAGCGGGGAAGGCGGCACGGGGATCC